TAATAAAAAACTGGATATTAGATAGGGACGATATTTGGAAGCCGACGTGTCAGCAGAAGGATCTATGGAAATTGAGGTGAATCACAGTATTGACCAAGGAAAAGGATAGGTAGTAGGAAGAATACTGAGTATTGGAAAAAAGAAAAACGAGGAATGTACTAGAGTACAGTGGTACCATCACTTCATGTGGGTATGAGGTATGGGCTTTAATGAAACATTGCGAGGGGAGGCTGGAGGCAGTGATGTCATGTTTAAGAGCAATGTGTGGTGTAAATATTATGCAAAAAAAAAAAAAAAAAAAAAAAAAAAAAAATCGGAGCCTGGAAATTAGATGTCGTTGTGAGATTATGAGGACAGTGGAGTGGTTGTTGAAAAAGTTTGGGCATATAGAGGTTAAGGAAGAATAGTATAACCAATTGTCTTTGAAAGGGTTCTAAGAAGTAAGATCACCACCCATCTAGATACCCATCAGTTACACAACTCAGGGCAACATGGGTTTAGACCACGTTGCTCCTATCTGTCCCAACTACTGGACCACTACGACAAGGTCCTGGTTGCTCTAGAAGACAAATAGAATGTAGATGTAATATACACAGATTTTGTAAAAGCCTTTGGAAAGTGTGACCATGTGTAATAGCGCAAATAGAACACTAAGAGTAGTAGTCAACAGAATAAAGTCTGAGGCAGCTACGGTGAAAGCTCTGTTCCACAAGGCACAGTACAGACGATGCACCATCCCCCCAATGAAAAGCAGGGGTGTCACTAGCACGTTAAGAGACCGTACAATAAGTGTCAGGGGCCCGAGACTGTTCAACTGCCTCCCAGCACACATAAGGGGGATTACCAACAGACCCCTGGCAGTCTTCAAGCTGGCACTGGACAAGCACCTAAAGTCAGTTCCTGATCAGCCGGGCTGTGGCTCGTACGTTGGTTTGCGTGCAGCCAGCAGCAACAGCCTGGTTGATCAGGCTCTGATCCACCAGGAGGCCTGGTCACAGACCGGGCCGCGGGGGCGTTGACCCCCGGAACTCTCTCCAGGTAAACTCCAGGTAAACTCGCCCCCAACTTGTTCCTCATCTTCATTTCGGACATAGACAGGGATATAAGCCACAGCGCAGTGTCTCCCTTTGCAGATGACACCCGAATTTGCACGAGTATCCTCTAATGAAGACACTGCAAGACTCCAGGCGGACATCAACCAAATCTTTAAATGGGCTGCAGAAAACAATATGAAGTTCAGTGATGAGAAATTCCAATTACTCCGATATGGAAAGCGTGAGGTAATTAAAATTTCATCAGAGTATAAAACAAATTCCGACCACACAATAGAGCGAAAAGACCTGGGGTGATTATGTTAGAGGATCTCACCTTCATGGACCATAACATTGTATCAATCACATCTGCTAGAAAAATGACAGGATGGATAATGAGAACCTTCAAAACCAGGAATGCCAAGCCTATGATGACACTCTTCAGGTCGCTTGTTCTGTCTAGGCTGAAATATTGCTGCACACAAACTGCACCTTACAAGGCAGGTGAAATTGCTGACCTGGAAAATGTACAGAGAACCTTCACGGCGCGCATAACTGCGATAAACCACCTAAGTTACTGGGAACTCTTGAAGTTCCTAAACCTGTACTCCCTAGAACGCAGGAGGGAGAGATACATGATTATATATACCAGGAAAATACTAGAGGGACTAGTGCCAAACTTGCACACAAACATCACTCCCTACGAAAGCAAAACACTCGGCAGACTGTGCAACATCTTCCCAATGAAAAGCAGGGGTGTCACTAGCACGATAAGAGACAACACAATAAGTGTCAGGGGCCCAAGACTGTTCAACTGCCTCCCAGCATACATAAGGGGGATTAACAATAGACCCCTGGCTGTCTTCAAGCAGGCACTGGACAAGCACCTAAAGTCAGTACCTGACCAGCCGGGCTGTGGTTCGTACGTTGGACTGATCAGGCCCTGATCCACCATTAGGCCTGGTCACAGACTGGGCCGCGGGGGCGTTGACCCCCGGAACTTTCTCCAGGTACTCTTCAGGTAAGTGTGTATAAATCTTAGTTGGAAGGAAAAAGGGATAGGGGTCCTCATAGGAAGGGTTTGAGGGACAGTGTGGAGGTTTTGAATGGTTGGAGCTTGAACATTCAGCAGGCTGTGTAAAGAATTTATCCCCATTTCTTCCACCGTCTCCAATGTTCATTCTCTGTAACACGATTGAAAAAGCTATTGGTGAATCGCCTCACCAATAACGGTCATGTGTCTGCTGCACGTGACTTACTCATTATAAAACCTTTTCCTCGAGAATCATGTACATTCACGTTCTTTACACGTCTTATGCGTCAGATTTTACCAGCAGCTTTCATGAAAACCAAATTAACATCATGACTTACGAAATCGTAATAACGCGACTGCAAACAAACCACGGTACGGGTGGGGTTAGAACGCATGGCGAGTGAGTCGCAAAACTCTTATTGTAGCCAGCTGGCCGAGTGGTCTGGAGTTTTACGACTCACTCGCCATAGGTTCAAACCCCACCTATACGTGCTTTGTTTAACATCACATTATTTATCATGGTCTACTGTTTCAGCCCCTTTACTGAAGAAGTCGGTAAATTTGTCGGGCTAGAACGTGACGGCGTGAATCCATATTGAGGCTCATTAACCAAATCATAATCATCAAGGTGGCTTCTTATAGTGGATTAATATTGTCATCCTCTATATGTCGTCCAGTGTTACAAGGTATACAATACCAACCAATGTATAAAAGAGACATTTATGTAATAGTAATTAACTTTATTATGGAAGTGTTTCACTCACCAGGGATTTTAACACTTCACTACAGACAAGGAAATACATAGCAGTGCGAAGATCAGTTTACAGTAGGCTGGGCACACACAATGATACCTATGTCCTGAATGGCCTAAAAAGTGGAGATATTACAGATCCCTGTGTTGTGCACAACGATATTAAGACACGACTGCAGCTTCTAAACAACAGTGTTCATTTAAATCCTCTTCCTCAGTGATAAGTTTAGCATCATTCCACTTCATTAAGTGGTCATGGCTATTCCTGTGAATATCGCAGACCTGAACAGATGCAAAAATTGTCTCCTAAGTTTTATAGTTTGTTACATTAAAGGTTTATCAAGTACACGAGGGTCATTAAGGTTTATCAAGTACACGAGGGTCATTAAGGTTTATCAAGTACACGAGGGTCATTAAGGCAGTAAGCCACCTCATAATATCCAGGATACTTTAATCCCTAAAACAGGTATTATATTGTGCATTGTTGGCCTATACAAATAACGCATAGACGTATAGACGCTATATTATTTATAGTTCAATATTACAAAAGTGTTAAACCCGCTTTTGAAAATTTATAGTGTTCCGAGTTTTTATAAATTGAGCTGCATAAGAAGATAAACAATAAACCTGCACTTACTTGCTAACATAACTTTTGTTTAATCATTAATGGTATAGCAAATGTGAGTTAATATACGAATGAAAGAGGATATATCAGCATAAGTAAGGATGGGGTGGTTAGTCAAATATGAGTAAGTAAGTTTATTCAGCTATACACAAATACAGTTACATAGAATTATCATACATAGCAGCATATGTGTAGAGAACCTGGGATAATGAGGCTTCTCAAGCAGTGTGTGGCAGAAGTCACGTCTTCATAGGTCAGGGGTCTGACTCTCAAGGATCTTGGGATAGCTCTTAGGAATGTCACACAGTGTTTCACTAGACAAACATGTCTCAGGTACAAACCATTTCACGGGCGGGGTTAGAACCCGCGAACAGAAAGTCATCAACCTCCAGACCTACGCGTTAGCCACTGGGCCAGCTAGCCACAATAAGATTCATCCAATAAGGTACCGCTGTGCTAAATGCTCGCTTAGATATACCGTAAGATGGACAAAGTTTGTAGACCACCTCCGTCCTCCAAGACAAAGCTGGAAATGGTAGATGGTGTACTATTGCTGTTACTACGTTATCTCTCTTCTTTATATAGCTATTTTGTATTTACTCGTTGTTTCCTGTAATTACAACGAAACGTCTTCCAATTATTAGCCTCACATACATTAAATGCCTATTTTTTTTAGTTTAGTATTTGTTTACTGCATCTGTACACCCCAATGTTATTCATGGCTACTTCAGTTATGTTTTGTTTCTCGGAAGAGGACTTATAGCTATATTGTTCTATAAAGTGAAACTACTCTCGTTATTAAACAGTTTTGTGAGGATTGTCACCACCGCGCACCCTTGTTTCCTCTCCTAAACTTGTCTTCAACGGTCTAAAATTTTGTTAAAAAAATAAAAATAAATAAAAGAAAATGAAGATTCCATAAAAAACTGGGGTAACTTGCTTAAATTTAACTTGCATTGGGCCTAAGATGTTAATATGGATTTATTAATTATCTACTTCATGATTCATTTTGTTTTAACAATAACGAAAATTAACTTCAGATATGACTCTAAGGTGTATTAATTCCTGCAGACGTAGGAATACTCCATACGTGTGTATCCTCTTATTATGCATACATGTCCTGAGAGTACGTATATCCCTGCATATGTGGTATACTACATAATGTATAGGTGACTTGATAGCCATAGAACTCTCTTAAAGATGCCACCTTATTAAAAATTTAATAAAACCAATAACAACGGATGTCCTGTCTCTTTAAGATTAGATACGTTACATAGGAATGTTCCATCTGTTTCACTTAGGTTTGTATTATATACTTCAAAATCAAAGCATGATACTTTTTATTAGATGTAGTATACAACGATAGGGACATGGAAACGTTGCCAACAGTAAATTAGGGAAAATGCATGTTAGCAACCACTTATTGTCTTGGCATAGTGTCATATTACTGGTGTGGTTGTTGAGTACAATACTTAGCATTATGATGAAGAGGAGTAGAGGGTGCGGTGTTGAGTTGGCATCAAGTGTAGTATATGGTACTAACGAGGTGCGTGGGCACAGACAACGACCCCTGCTCGCCAAACCCGTGCTTCCCTGGTGTCGACTGTAGCCGGGGTCCAGAAGGAGCCCGCTGTGGAGCCTGTCCAAGGAACTTCCTGGGAGACGGACGCAACTGCAAGCCAGGCATCACATGTGCTGACCGTCCATGTGCCAGAGGTGAGTAACTCTCTTCTGCTCAGTCTTATTCATAGTACTGCTACAATAATATCTTTAAAAAGTCACCTAAAGCTTCATTGCTTGCAAATATTTAAAGTATTCAACTGAAGCTTTGCTTTAACTAAGTGTATCACGTCTGTAATCAGGTCAGTATACAAGGTAAACTTCACACACACACACACATACACACACACACACACACACACACACACACACACACCACACACAGTGAGGGACCGCGTGCGCGAGTCGGCAACTCACCGTACCCGCGAATATAACAAGGGGTGCCAAGTGTGTTAGAGTAGTGAACAATTTCTTGAAGCGATTTACAATCTGCCTGAGCCACATAAGTGTGGGGAGAGCCACAATTTTGTAAGTGATCTAGACAGATCTAGAAAGTAAAGCGTGGTGGCGCATCCAGAGCAGGCAGGGCTCAGGCGATGTTGTCACGTGTCACCCAAGAAAGATAATAAAGTGAAACAATCGTGTGACCAGTGAAAGAAATACAGTGAATAGTGTACATTATATAACGAGAAGAAACTGAGGTGGATCTACGCCAGGACGTCACATCGAGCTGGACAATCTACAGGCTGCTACAGCTGCACTGCAAGTACTGTAATCACCTATGCGTGGTTGTTTGGGTGTGGGTTCCGGGTTCCAATTAACTGCCAAGCTGAGTGTGAACGGTCCAACTCTCCTAGCACGATAAAGAATAGACACTCAAGTACTCAATAAGGAATAGCAATTGGTAATCTATGGAACAAGTTACTATAAGCCAAGGTGGTAGTAAAAGCACCATTGTAAGTAGGTGTGGGTCAAGTCACAGGAGGGTGGGGGTCAGGCCACAAAAGGTTGTGGTCAGGTATGGGACCACTGAGACTCCACATAACACTCCAACGCACAATTCCACCTACTTTTCAGACACTTAATAAACCCACACATAATTCCACACAATTCCACACACACACACACACACACACACCACTACACTCCCCCCTTCCCCACCAACCTATCACTCCTTCCCCTGATCCCCCCCTCTCTCATTCACCCTCCTCCTCCCCACTCTCCCTCTTTCCCCCTCTCCCTCTCTCCCATTCTCCCCCTTGCTTCTCCCTCCTCACTCCCCATATTCCCCCCTAAATCCCCCTCCCCACCCCTCTCCCATATAGCCACTGTCCAGAGTTCCTCCTCTACCTCCCCCCCACACTCAGACAAACACATTACTAACCTAACACACATAATTACATAAGTTTTCCATTCTGAGGCAATCAAAATAAAAAAAATGGGTTGCCAGAGAGTAGGAAGGAAAACCAAGGGACAGGAGGATGAATCTGCAAAGGAAGATTGGGCAGCAGAGCTCACAAAAAGGGAACATGAATGGGAAAAGAAGCTAGAAGAACTTAGCATGAGAATGGAAGAGAGGATAGATATGGAAAGCAAGTAGTGGGAGATGCAAGTCATAGCAGCAGAGGCTAGGATACAGAGATTAGAAGTGGAACTGAAAAATCTGGAACAGCCTAAAGAACTAAAGAACATTTTGGGAATGACATCAGAGACTGCTACCTCAGTCACAAATTAAGGGGACTGTAGGGATAGAAGGAGCAAAACTACATGTAGAAGCTCCATCAGAGGGGACAGTAGTAAATGAAAGAGCTAAGCTATATGTGGAGGCCCTAACAGACCACAGCAGAGCCCAGGGAAAGCCGAGAAGGGAAAATGACAGGCCACTGAGCCCAAGTATAATAAATAGTGAAACTGAAGAAAGGAAAGCTGCAATGGAGAAAATTAAATTGAATGAGTGGATACACAAGGATACACAGTGGGAGAATGAAAGGGAGAGGTCAGTCTTTGTGTATGGGCTCCAGGAAGTTGAAGGGGAAACATATGAAGCAAGAAAACAAAGGAAAAAAAAAAGCAATTGAAAGCATCATGAAAGCAATAGGAGAAGATGACATGACCCAGCTGGAAAATTTTCGGAGAATAAGGGGTTTGCAAGAAAAACCCGGCCAGTGAAAGTGACTTTCAAGGCAGAATCGACTCGGAACAGGATCCTGCAGGAGAAAGCAAGATTAAGGGACATGCTGGCATACAGGAAGGTGTATCTCGACCACGACAGAACACAAGAAGAAAGGCAGAAACTGAGAGAGATGGTACAAAGGCGAAAGGAGGAAAGAGAGGGGATGGAGGAGACAGACAGGAGATCCCAGACCCAGGAAGAAGATCAAATACAGCCTCCCTCACAACTTCCTATAGAATCCCCCCAACCAGGTCAACCCCAGTGCAATCAACCATTCTAAACCAAAACACCCATGCCATATCCAATGCCCCCACCCAATGCATTACAAACTCCACCCCCACAGCAACCACCCATAGTTCCTTATCAGGTTTCTCACTTCCCCAACCCCAATATACCCCCCAGACCACAGTTTTAGAAAAGAAGTTGAAGGTGTGGTATACAAATGCAGATGGAATAACAAATAAATGTGAGGAGTGGCAAGAAAGAATCAAGGAGACATCCCCAGACATAATAGCACTCACAGAAACAAAACTCACCAAAATGATAACAGATGCAATCTTTCCACCCGGATATCAAATTCCTCAGGAAAGACAGAGGGAGGAGAGGGGAGGAGGAGTTGCACTGCTCATTAAAAACCACTGGGGTTTTGAGATAATGGAAGGAATGGATGGCACGGGCGAAAGAGACTACTTAGTAGGAACAATCCAGTCTGAGGGACAAAGTGATAATTGCAGTAATGTACAACCCACCACAGAACTGCAGGAGGCCAAGAGAAGAATACGATGAGAGCAACAGAGCAATCGTCGACACACTAGCCGAAGTGGCCAGAAGAGCACACATGGGGGGAGCAAAGTTACTAGTTATGGGTGATTTCAATCACAAGGAGATTGACTGGGAAAAACCTGGAGCCCCATGGGGGTCCCGAAAACATGGAGAGCCAAGATGATGGATGTGGTACTGGAAAACCTCATGCATCAACATGTTAGAGACACTACCAGAGAGAGAGGTGAGGATGATCCAGCAAGATTGGACCTTCTATTCACCTTGAGTAGTTCGGACATCGAGGATATCATGTATGAAAGGCTCCTAGGAGCTAGTGATCATGTGGTTCTGTGCTTTGACTACATAATTGAGCTTCAAGTGGAGAGAGTAGCAGGAACAGGATGGGAAAAAACAAACTACACAAGGGGGAACTACTCAGGCATGAGGAACTTCCTGCAAGACATTCCAGTGGAAGAGGGAACTGACAGGAAAACCAGTACAAGGAATGATGGACTATGTGACAACAAAATGCAAGGAGGCAGAGGAGAGGTTTGTTCCCAAGGAAAACAGAAATAATGGGAAGAACAGAATGAGTCCTTGGTTCACCCAAAGGTGTAGGGAGGCAAAAACTAGGTGTACTAGAGAATGGAAAAGGTACAGAAGACAGAGAACTCAGGAAAATAAAGAGATTAGCCGAAGAACCAGAAACGAATATGCACAGATAAAAAGGGAGGCTCAGTGACAATATGAAAATGACATAGCAACGAAAGTCAAGACTGACCCGAAGCTGTTGTATAGCCACATCAGGAGGAAAACAACAGTCAAGGACCAGGTAATCAGACTGAGGAAGGGCGATGGGGAGTTCACAAGAAACGACAAAGAGGTATGTCAGGAGCTCAACACGAGATATAAAGAAGTATTTACAGTGGAAACCAGTAGGTCTCCAGGAAATCAGAACAGGGGGGTACACCAACAAGTGCTGGATGAGGTACACATAACCAAGGAGGAGGTGAAGAAGCTGCTATGTGAACTTGACACCTCAAAGGCGGTGGGACCAGGCAACATCTCTCTGTGGGTCCTTAGAGAGGGAGCAGAGATGCTGTGTGTGCCATTAACAAAGATCTTCAACACATCCATTGAAACTGGGCAACTCCCTGAGGTATGGAAGATGACAAATGTAGTCCCAGTTTTTAAAAAGGGAGACAGACATGAGGCATTAAACTACAGACCTGTATCACTAACGTGTATAGTATGCAAAGTCATGGAGAGGTCATCAGGAGGAGAGTGGTGGAGCACCTGGAAAGAAACAAGTGTATAATTGACAACCAGCACGGTTTCAGGGAAGGAAAATCCTGTGTCACAAACCTACTGGAGTTTTATGACAAGGTGACAGAAGTAAGACAAGAGAGAGAGGGGTGGATCGACTGCATTTTTTTGGACTGCAAGGCCTTCGACACAGTTCCTCACAAGAGGTTACGGCAAAAGCTAGAGGATCAGGCACACATAACAGGAAAGGCACTGCAATGGATCAGAGAATACTTAACAGGGAGGCAACAACGAGTCATTGTACGTGACGAGGTGTCAGATTGGGCGCCTGTGACAAGCGGGATTCCACAGGGGTCAGTCCTAGGACTTGTGCTGTTTTTGGTATGTGAATGACATAACGGAAGGGATAGACTCAGAAGTGTCCTTGTTTGCAGATGATGTGAAGTTAATGAGAAGAATCAAATCAGACGAGGATCAGGCAGGACTACAAAGAGACCTGGACAGGCTACAATCCTGGTCCAGCAACTGGCTCCTTGAGTTTAACCCTGCCAAATGCAAAGTCATGAAGATTGGGGAAGGGCAAAGAAGACGTAGACACAATATAGTCGAGATGGCCAAAGACTGCAAACCTCACTCAAGGAAAAAGATCTGGGGGTGAGTATAACACCGAGCATATCTCCTGAGGCGTACATCAATCAGATAACTGCTGCAGCATACGGGCGTCTGGCAAACCTACGGATAGCGTTCCGATACCTCAGTAAGGAATAGTTCAAGACTCTGTATACCATTTACGTCAGGCCCATGCTAGAGTATGCAGCATCAGTCTGGAATCCACACCTGGTCAAGGACGTCAAGAAATTAGAGAAAGTGCAAAGGTTTGCAACAAGACTAGTCCCAGAGCTAAGGGGATTGTCCTACGAAGAAAGGTTGAGGGAAATCGGCCTGACGACACTGG